AACTGAGAAGGATATACTGGCAGCCTATGAAAGGGTTTGAGCTCCTTCAGAAGTGACTGGCACTGAAGCACAGCTCCTCCTGGCACCCTGGTTGCCCGTACTGGGCTGGATGTTCAAAGGCAGGGTCTCCTATACACACCATGCAGCTGATGCTACATGGAGTAAGTGGGCTGCTCTAATTACAGAATGAGCTCGAATAGGAAATCCCAGTCCTCCGGGAATTCTGTAACTCATCATGGACTGGCCAGAGGGCAAAGATTTCGGAATGTCACCAGAGGAGGAGGTGATGCGTGCAGATGAGGCTCCACCATATAATAAACTGTCAGAAAGTGAAAAGCAGTATGCCTTGTTTACTGATGGGTCCTGCCGTATTGTGGGAAAACATCGGAGATGGAAGGCAGCTGTATGGAGTCCTCGACGATAAGTTACAGGAACTGCTGAAGGAGAGGGTGACTCGAGTCAGTTTGCCGAGGTGAAAGCCATCCAGCTGGCCTTGCACACTGCTGAATGAGAAAAGTGGCCAGTACTTTATACTGACTCAAGCATGGTGGCAAATGCCCTGGGGGGGGAGGGGGGGGGGGGTGGTTGCAGCAGTGGAAGCAGAGCAACTGGCAAGGCAGAGATAAACCCATCTGGGCTGCTGCACTATGGAAAGATATCACTGTCCGGTTGCAGAACCTGGTGGTAAAGGTACGACATGTAGATGTTCATGTACCCAAGAGTCGTGCCACTGAGGAACACCACAACAACCAACAAGTGGATAAAGCTGCTAAGATTGAAGTGGCTCAGGTGGACTTCGATTGGCAACATAAAGGTGAATTAGTTTTGGCCCGGTGGGCCCATGACACTTCAGGCCATCAGGGCAGAGATGCAACATATAGATGGGCTTGTGATTGAAGAGTGGACTTAACAATGGACACTATTGCCCAGGTTATTCATGAGTGTGAAATATGTGCTGCAATTAAACAAGCCAAACGGTTAAAGCCTCTTTGGTATGGAGGATGATGGCTGAAGTACAAATATGGGGAGGCCTGGAAGATTGACTATATCGCACTGCCACCAACCTGCCAAGGCAAGTGCCATGTGCTTACCATGGTGGAAACAACCACCAGATGGCTGGAAACATATGCTCTGCCCCACGCCATTTCCCGGAACATTATTCTGGGCCTTGAGAAGCAGATCTTGTGGCCACACTGCACCCCAGAGAGAAATGAGTCAGACAATGGGACTCATTTCCGGAATAACCTTATGGACACTTGGGCCAAAGAGCATGTCATTGAGTGGGTATATCACATCCCTTACCATGCACCAGCCTCTGGGAAAATCGAAAGGTACAATGGGCTGTTAAAAACTACCCTGAGAGCAATGGGTGGTGGGACATTCAGACATTGGGATACACATTTACCGAAAGCTACCCGGTTGGTCAACACCAGAGGATCTGCCAGCAGGGCTGACCCAGCCCAGTCAGAATTTTACATACTGTAGATGGGGATAAAGTTCCTGTTGTGCACAGAAAGAATTTTCTGGGGAAGACAGTCTGGGTTATTCCTTCTTCAGGTAAAGTCAAACCCATTTGTGGGATTGCTTTTGCTCAGGGACCCGGATATACTTGATGGGTAATGAGGGAAGATGGGGAAGTCTGATGTATACCTCAAGGGGATTTGATTTTAGGGAAAAACAGCCAATGAACTCAATTATATGCTGTTGCCTGCTGTGTAGCACTTTTATAGCCCACCACCTAGATGTCTTTATGTCCAACAAGGAATGAACTGTGATGAAAGCAGACGAGCTCAGCAGCTATGAGTTCTGTGGTGTCATCAGCAGGCAACAGTCCAGCCCTGAACACCATCTCTCCTGCTTTGAAAGTCTGTTACAAGAACTGGAGCCCGATATCTCTGTGTGTGTGTGCGTATGTGTGTGTGTGTATATATATATGAGACAAGAGTGATGGTATATTGAAAAATGTGGGATCTGAGCACGACATTAATGGTATGGAATAAGGGGTGGATACTGTCCTGTGTTCAGCAGTAGCAGTCATTTTTCTCTTTCTTAGTAGCTGGTACAGTGCTGTGTTTTTGACTATGAGCCTGGGAACAACGCTGATAACACCAGTGTTTTTAGTTGCTAAGTAATGTTTACTCTGACCGAGGACTTTCTGAGTCTCATGCTCTGCCAGGGAGGAGGGGAAGCTGGGAGGAAGCAGAGACAGGACACCTGACGCAAACTAGCCAAAGGGGTATTCCGTACCACAGCACGTCATACCCAGTATATAAACTGGGGGCAGTTACCCGGAAGGGCTAGATCGCTTCTTGGGTTGGGCTGGGCATCAGTCGGTGTGTGGTGAACAGTTGTATTCTCTTCCCTTGTTATTTCCCTTATCGTTATTATTATTGGTGGTAGCAGTACTGGTTTGTGTTATACCTTAGTTACTGGACTGTTCTTATCTCAACCTGTGTGAGTTATATTCTTTTGATTCTCCTCCAAATCCCTCTGGGAGTGGGGGGATGAAGAGGGGGAAGAGCAAGCGAGTGAGCTATTGCATGATCCTGGCTTGCTGGCTGGGCTTAAACCACAACAGTTCTCTTCCGTTGTTATTTCTCTCATCATTATTATTATTGGTGGTAGCAGTAATAGTTTTGTATTATACTGTAGTTACTGGACTCTTCTTATCTCAGCCTGTGGGAGTTACATTCTTTCGATTCTCCTCCACATCCCTCCAGGAGCAGGGGGAGGGAGAAGGGGGTGAGTGAGCGAGCTGCTGCGAGGTTCTGAGTTACCAGCTGTGCTTAAACCACCACATGTGTACAGTTCCCTTCTTTAATAGTGGTCCCACCATTTTCTCTTAATTGGAGGATATAAAATGCTGGTTTCTGTTACCTGTATATCTTGTAGATATAACTTGGAGTAGGTGAACAAGCACGTCCTCCTTGACTAAAAGTTCATCCGTACCATTACATCAGCTGCAGTCATGAATGAAGCATTTCCTTGACGTGTTGTGGGCTGCAGGTTTCTGTCCCATTGTACTCTGAGATATTTGCACAAGGCAGCATTCTGCTGTAGTGGTAGCAAAATATGGAAGGTATTTCTAGAGTAGAGTATCTCATAAACTAAATGTCAGAAACTAAATTCCTTTTTAATTAAAATTTAAAAAGCATTTTAAAATATGAAAAAGTCAAACATATAAGATGCTGACTGTCTTTTTAGGAATGATTCCACTTAGTTTAGGCTGTTATTTCAGGCATTTCATTATTCAGAAGAGATCTAGCCCATGAGCAAAAGTCAGATACTGTGACAGAATGATTCTCACAAAACTTCCAGAAATGGTAGGCTGTGTAAAAGGCAGGACAAACTTTAACTCTCGATTGAGAACAAATTGAGAAGAAAATGTCTTCTTAGAGACCAGGAAAGCCTCGTGCAGTTTTGTTCTACTTTCTTGTTTGCTGTTGTTGAGAACTCACTTATTCCTTCTGCTGGCAGTGAAAGCATCCCCAACTGATTTGTGTTTAGTTCCTGAATTTCCATCTTTAAATAAATTGCATGCTGACAAGCTGATTGGTTTTTGTCAAATCAATGGAATTGGGTATAGATTTTCTTTCTGGCTCCAGGATTTGTCAGCAAGGCCTCTTCAAACAGTCCTTTGGAAGCTTGGACCTGAAACAAAAGGGGGAAAAATATTGATTTAACTTTCAGGTATTCTATCATTGTATTTTTACATTGTTGTCAACAATTCCCTTTTGGCTTGTTTTGTTTTGGCACCTTGAGTACATCACCTGCAATCATCAGTGAAGAAAGGAATTGCTTGGGGTTTTTTTGTTCCATTAATAGTATTCTCAGGGAGAAAAGAGGATGCCTAAAAAGATAAAAGGCAAGAGTATTACACAAGTTTATGATAAGGAGAAGTCGGGCAACTGAAATTATCAGAGGAAGGGAAGTCGACCTCTACTAAGGTACCCCAATTGTGTAAAGTATAACAGAAACTAAATTACTCCAAAGTCACGTTCTCCATGGGCACCACAAAAAAATTCAAAACTGTGTAATCAGGTTTAAACTGATTTAGCTTGTTAGTTTTGAATAGTTTCACAGTAGTTTAAAAATGAAAAGACTTTGCATATTAATGTAAAAGGTAAAGTTCTTGCTACTTCCTGTTTTAAAAATGAAATTAGCATCAGCAAAACCAAGTGTTAATTCCTTACAAAATTTTCATTATGACAGGTGGAAATTACTAAAAAATAACTCAAGATGATGTAGCTTTAAAGCCTGTTTGAACAAATCTCTGGGTCTGTTCTTTTTCTTCCCCAAATCGGTATGAGTAGATGAAAACCAACCATGAGTCCATGTTATTTTCCTGAAATACTCATTTTTGGGAGGGAGGCACAGGAAAGAGGCCTAATGAATCTTTCCTGTAGTGTGCATTAAAAAAACAAGTGAGACAGTTTTAAGATCCTGGGCTAATGAATTCAGATATAATTCTTTATGTCATTCCTATCTCTTTTTTCAAAACCTTTGATCATCCTGTGAATATAAGCCAATGACAAAACAAATCACTGGGAAGATTAATGGTGTCAAATTTATCAATGCGGGGAATTATTTTTCATTCCCTGCTTAGGAACTATCTGTCATTAAAAAGATTTGGAACCCAGAAGCAGTAACCTAGGAATTATTTTCTACTTATTAATAAAGGAATTAAAGCTTATAGTTCTAATATGAGCCAGTGGGGAGCTTTTCCCCATGTTCTAGTAAATTTTGATTTGGAGAAAACTCCAGGAACAAACTTGCCAACAAAGTTTTCAAGCTGACAAGCATGTATTCTTTATTGCGGCGCTGGGAGACACAGGGTAGAGCTCCTCCTAATGTGTGTCCCCTATTGCTACACAAGCCACCCTTATATAGTCCCTGGGCATACATACATATTCATGAGGCTACACATGGATTGCCACATTTTCCAGAAAGTTCCACGCATGCATACAAAATTGTAGTGGTGGTCTCTGAGGGTCATTTACTTCTTCCAACAATCTTCATCACTTCTGGCAGCCTTTGAAGCACACCCAGTAGATGCTCTTAACAGCTTAATTGGTTCGTTAGCACCAGAGACATAATAATCCTCCTATCCTCCTGCTTATCAGTTAGTTTAAGGATTTATCTTGTACAAGAATTCTTACTGTGTTCTCTAGCTGCACTCTATTTTTTTTTAATATAACATGCACCTCAGTAGTTTTCTGTCGGAGACTCCATGTCATCGCGATGCGGAGGGAACACAGCACAACCAATATGATTGATAAAGTGATCCGTTTATTCTGCTTAAGCCTGGGGTATATATAGATCTAGGCTGCTATTCACACATATTCTTGGGAAACTTCTGTGGTTTTATTATTTACAGGCACATCCCGTTTTCTTAACCTCCTTATTCCTCCCTTCAAGATACTCGTTAACTACAAGGTCAGTTTACCCCCCTGCACAGCTGGTGTTTTTTACGGAGCTGGATTTCTCACTGACTCTTACAAAACTGGTCCCTGGCCAAGTTCAGCCATGGGAACATAACCCTTGCCTGACAACCACGCTTCCACAATTCCCCCTTTTTCTTTTTCAAGCATATTTTTTGCAATTTTCATAAGGCTTTGCTGAATACATTGAATAATAGAAGGCAAACAAATCAAGATAAGAAAAACCAAGATACATACAGGCAAAAAATGACTTAAAATACCGATTAGCCAGGATCCTACTCCCAATGACCTTAACCAAGAGGTGAGGTCCCAAAAGTCACCTTCTTTTAATTTGTGCAAGTTGTCTTTGAGTTGTTGCAGCTCCTTGTGTATAGAGCTACTATGGCCTGAGAGATTCATGCAACACGTATGGCTCTCTGGTAACAGGGGAGGCCATCCTTCACATCAAGGTCTGGCATGGCATGTGTCCCCACCGCTTCACGCCTTCTGGGTTGCAGCCAGCAGCGGAGCTAAAGGTTCTTCTTGGTGTCAGGCACAGAGGCCAACCCAGTCTTGCCCTTGATTGGGGTA